GAATAGAATGGATGGGTTTCAGTACACTGGTACCACAGAGGAGTGCACAGCTTTGAAAAGACCATACGAGTTGAAGCAGTACTAATATGCAAGAGAACTTGCATATTACAAAGCAATAGCATGGCCCCACTCCATTTAGTTACTTCAGCTTCATGAGGATTTTATTTCTATTTAGCTTCCTCAGTGCATGAAGGACCTAAGACATGGGGCCACAAAGACCATCCCACCACTCTACTTGTAAGCTTGTCTTGAGCTCCTGTTCTTTTCTAACACAAGAATTAGAAACATGACTTTTAACCTCTTTGAGACTTGAGACATTCAACTCACATGCTAACTTGCTTGGAAATTAACAGAAAGGAATCTAGTTCCAGTACTACAGTGATGACCCATTTGTATATTATGATACCTTTTGTAAACAATTAGAGCAATGGAAACTCTGTTTGGAGCATAAAAATCTCTTGAAAGCCATGGAAATAAACAACAGATTGAATCTAGGTCTTGGCGTACAAATCTATAAGGTGTACACTGAAGCACACGGCTATGACATGTCAAGAAGTGGTATTTTCTCTCATAATTAATGCTAGTACTACTGGGAAGAATATCAAATTAATAAAAAAAAATATTAGAAAGCTCAGTTAAAGCACTGGACCATGACTAGAGCTGATCCTGTAGATATGCAGTTACATAAGAATGAGATGTTAATTATGAGCAACCTAGTTCTGGTAGTTCATATGTACAGTCACACATCCAAATATTATGACTTTTTGATCCTAACAATATCTGCCGAAGATATTCTGCAGAGTGTGTTCATGTTCTACCCTTTCTCAACTTGGTATATAAATATAAAAGGTAGAACATCTAAATGTTTTAACATATAAAAGGTATTTCAGGCTAGCTTCCAATTATGTGGTAGTGGTCTCAGAAAACTTTATTCAAATATCAATTTCAGGACCACCCTACTGAAACCTGAGGTAGCTTTAGAGGACTTTGTGATGCACAATGCTTGATGAAGCAAGGGTCTCAGAGCTCATGAAGCTCTAACTGGCTGACAGCAGGAGTTAAGAATACAGATGGTTCTTAGTGACAATAAGGATAGTGATTTTCTGAAACCAGATTTCTAGAAATCCAATAAGAAATTCAGAGTCAGCATGGCTGAGGATGATCTGCAAGAGAATCAGCCTGAGTTAATGATCTATTTCACCACATAAGTTTATTCATGAGAGACCTTTCTGCTGCTGCTAAGATCTCTCACGAGGCAGTGGCAAGCATGCCATCAGGAAGAGGGCCACATAGAAAAAGAGAAGACAGAGAAGACACTGGGACTCACAATTGTGCATGTATATGGACTTTGAAGCAAGGATGTACTCCTGGTCCCATAGTTTAAATATAGCCAAAGATTCTGATACCCCAAGAGTCTTGACTATGAATAACGGAAAATTCAGGATCATAACTTCCTGCTTGTTTCTAAAAGCTGTTCCTTGGACTGGGATGAGGGGTTACATCAGCCTCCTGCAAAATATCCTCTGTAATCTTGGTCTGTATGTAGTGTTCCTGTTACAGTTAGGACAATGAGGGAACTTGGTAGACAAACTGCTGACAAGTAGATTTAATGTATCTGTTTCATAAGTTGACCACTTCTGACAAAGGGGAAGAGGGAAACTTAATTTGTTGTGGCATGCATGCCTGCCTCATTCCACTGCTCTACTTTGGTGCTGCCTAAAAGCTTATTTTGGTGGGTATTATGTCCTAGAATGACACAGAACTAGAACCAGCAGGATTTAAAAAACTTCCAAAAACAGCTTCATCAAATAAAATCAGCTGACCTGTGGAGATGTGAAATGCACATTTGGAAACACTCAGAGCTGGAATGTAGGTGAGGCTAAGTACAAGAATGCCAGGGTTATGTGAATATCTAACAACAACATGAATATCACCAATAAGGACATTTATAAATAAACAGTATTTTTATTTTTAAGTTACTCTGAATTTCTAAACCTCTTAAAATATTAACTCAGGACTCCCAAATTCACTAAGGTGGGTAGCTAAGGATTGTTAATCTTATTTTTACTGCTGGGGAAACTGAGGCAGAGAGTTTCAGTGACTTACCCAAGGCCACAGAGGGAGTCACTGTCAGAGCCGGGATTAGAGCTCAGGAGTTTCTGGCTCCCAGTCCCAAGCTCAGACCACTAGACCATGGCCTCAGGACATTTCCAGCTGGTCTTCAGTCTAAAAAAAAGTAAATTCTCATGTATGTTACAAATATGTAACATATATATATATTTCTTTTTACTTTGAATGTAATAGTATGAATGAGAACACATTGCTTGTAAGTCAGTGATGAAAAGCAAACCAGTACATTTTATCTGAGTTGCCTTTGTCATACATATGTGTATGATACAGCTCTGTGTACATACATATCATACATACGTGTATGATAAAGCTCTGAAGAAAAATCTTGATTTAAATTGCAGCCAGTACAAACAGCTATTGTATTTTTCAGGGTAAGGAACAAATTGCCTTTCCAACCCAGCCAGCATGTCATTTATATTAATGGTGAGGAATGCTAAGTTGCCTGTGTGTAAGTAAACTCTATTAAGAAAGTCACGTCCCTTGGTGAAGCTAGATCCTTAGTAAATTTTACTAGCTAAGCACTGAGCTCCATGTCAGAGTAATTACACCTTTTATCCACTGTGAGCTCTCTCTTAGCTTCTTCATACGCTTTAATTTCCCACTTCAGCTAATTTAGCAGTAAAATCGCAAAGGTTTTAAAAGGTTAGCTACCGAGGAACTGGCGCATGAATGTTCTGTTAAGCTCCATGCATTGAAATCACATCATGTAGAAGAAGGAATTAATTAAGTAACAATTAGGTAGTGATGGATCATTGACAACATATATACACTTTGGTGCTAAAATTAATCTCCCCTGTAAATCCAATACTTTGTGTATCTTATCATCTATACGCTGGCAAGTTTTATATTTGAAATATAAAATGAACAGGCCCTTCAGCAATACCTTAAAAAAAAAAAAAAGGCATACCTTCTGGCACTATTGAAACTACACACTATTTTAAAAAATCATATAGCTTCATTTTTTTTTAAAGAATTGAAAGAGTAATGAGAATAGCAAAAGGAGAAGAAATTTTTAAGGCAGGTGGTTTTAAAGTGACTGTAAGGACATTTGTTATATGAAAGTACTTAGTATGTTGGAAGTGCTAACAATTCTGTAGTATTCTCTCGCTATCTTCTTTTACATGTTGTCATATTGCTTCCTTGTATTGACAGTCAGCTGCCTAATACATAGATTGGCAGTTAGCCCGGTCAATCCTCAATTCTAAAAGCCTCTTAGCAGATGAAAAATCTTTGGTTCATTCACACCTTGTAGAAAGGATGACAGGGCAGAAGTGACATCCAGATCCATTTAGAGTATACTTCGAGTCTGATTTTCCTTTGCCTTGCACCTTGTGTAGCCATTTATAGCTGTGCAAAGTGAGCACAAAACGGATATAAAACACTGCTACCCATGTGAGGAGAGAATTCTGATTTGGTTGCATTATTTCCAGAGGTGATGACAAAAAGTGCCAGGCAGTGAAAAAATCTGGCTCTGCATAGAAAGTCTAAACAATTTTAATACAGAGCATAAAGTAGCAGCAGCGCTTTCCAAACAATTTACAGAAATTGCACTTTAGCTTTGGATCAATGGGTATTTTCATTTGCTCTTTGCTTGGTATTTTCATAGAAAAAAATACTAAATGTTAAACTCATCTACAGAAAACTAATCCTATTTCTTCCTTTTTCTGGTAGGAACATATTTAACTGTGAGTCCTAAAATATATTCTCACATAAGAAGGAACTCATGTCCTACATAAGATCTCCACTAGTTCTACCTTTCCACATGCTACTTCTAAACCCAGTACTTAAAAAGTTACACCTCTACACAACCTCCTGGAATCAATGCGAAAGCTGGTATTATCACAACAGCTGGTCTCAGTCCATCAGAGTTCAATACTGTTCTGGCTTTAGTATGGGTAGCAAATTATTGTCTCAGCATTTACCAAACAGTAATATCGCTGCTCTATGATCTACCACCATGATAGTGCAAGACCTACTGTCAAGTATCTTCAAGATACAAACTAATATTAGCAGGAAAGGTCTGCAAATACTACATTAATAAACGTGTGCTAACAAATTAAGGACCTAATCTGGCTGCATTGGAGATGTGGTCAATAATTATTTCTACTTAATAACAGACATTTGGTGTATAATAATTAATTCAATATATTTGGACATTTATTTCCCCATACTACCTGGTGGCCATTTTTCTTGCCCTTCCTAGTCAGAAATCCTTCCTGTTACGCTTGGATGCCATGATGGGCCTGTCAACTCAGGTGTGTTGATTAGGAGCAGAAATAGAAATTAATTGACTGCATCAGCAGCTGTTGAGTACTGCTACAGTAAATAATGTCTCTTGGTGTTTCTGTTAGAAAATTTCTTTTCTTTTAATCATAGTCATGCACTTCACAGAGTCATCCTAAGACATAGTTTCCAAACCTATTACCATTGTCCAAAGCTTCCCTTACCCTTCAACCAAGTGGCTAGAGAACAAATGAACATATTTTTTTATTCTTAATGTTTTGGCAACACTGTATTATAGATTGGGGTTTCTTGGGCTTTTTTCTTTTTTTTTTTTTTCCTTTCTTTTCTTTTTTCCCCCTTCCTCTTCTGGATTCAGAGCTTCTTTAAGTATTCTGAGTTGCTAGTCTGGCTTGACTGAAAATTACTGTGTGTTTGTTGTGTGTCTGCATGTGTGATACCAACTGCTGAAGACTGCTTGATGTTAGATGAGGGTTTATGCTCAGAGCTGTTCTACAGTTGGCTCTCTGGCAGAATCTCTCCTCACCAATGACAATGATGTCTCTGTGTGGGGGAGAGTCTGTTTTATAATATTACACTTTCTATGGCCTTAATTTTACTGATGGGGCATGATTATGATTTCATTTACGTTAATCAAAATTATGAGTCATTCCATTCATGTCAATAGCATTAAAGAGCTATATAGACAAGTAAGAGTTCAGAATCGGGCTTCTGGTGTTTAATCTGAAAGGATATCTGAATCACTTCATTAAAGATACATACTGAAGGCTAGATCCTCTGCTTACTTTGCATTACTCAGTCATGCCATTAGCATAAAACATCAAATAAAGAACTATAATGACAGCTGGCAATGTGTCACAGTACACGGGTTTTCTGTTTACCTTGGCTACAGAAAATACCCCTGAACTAACAAGATTTAAGATAATATTTCAAGTATGACAAAGTTACCATATTAGGCCTCCTTACCCTTGGAAGTTGGCATTAACATTTCAAAAAATTATTTCCTTCCTTTGTTTTTTTTATGTCACTCTTATGTAACTTGAATGCAAAAGATCTAAAGGTAAACAATATTTAAGTAAGACCTCAGAGACTGCATTAAGTTTTATAGCCCCATCCATAATGAGTATTATGTCTGGTAAATACAGGAGCATCAAAACAATGATCACAATTCATACAGTTTGTTTTGTAGGTAACTCATAAAGTACTATCAAATCTTCATTCTTTTTTATAAAGTGAAAAACATGTTAATTTTCCAAAATACAGTCATTCTAAAACAATAAAAGGTTTTGTACTGCTGTCTGTCTCCTGCTCAGAAAGAGAAATTGTGCAGGGGATGATGGGCCTTAATTTAGTCCTCACTGATAAGTACTTTTAAGACTAAATATTCTTGAAATTGCACTTATTTAAATTACACTCATGTAAATCTAAAAAAATATTGAGGCAGGGGGAAATCGTTTCAAGAGGTCTAGCAAGCTATCAGAATATTGCTCTACTATACCTCTCCAGATTTTTTCCATTTTTGAAGTCAAAGAATTATTGGCATTTGAGAACATTTTCTATAAATCTGTTTGATATATTACAGGCCCTAGAAACTATTACTGTCGTATATACTCTCATCTTCACTACAAGCACATGCCCCAACACAACAAATCAGAGAGCTGAGGGTTTTACCAACAAACCAGGACCAAAAGGAAGATGAAAGAAGGGATCTTTTATTATGCTTTCTATAGGTCTCACTGATTGTCTCACTGAAAACTAAAGATCTAGTTGTGCAACTTGCTTCTCCAGTACAGTGGGAATAGCAAAAATATTTTCTCCCCAATTCCCAATGAAAGCTTTCTTTTCACCCTGCTAGACCATGTGTTCAGTTTTATACCCTACACTTCCTCAGCATAAGAAAATTCTTGTACAGTGAAGCAATAAGATCCTGTCTTCAGGCTGAATACAAATGTTAGTTAAACCACTGGTGCCTTTTAAGAAAACCTTGATATAATTTCCACTCTTAGTAACTGTGGGAATTACACATTTTTCCTGTCTTTGTGATAATATTGCTGTGTATTTCAGCAAGCACACTTGGGCACATAGCTTAATTATAAGGCAAGAGACTTTACATATCTGTGCTGAAAAACAATTGGAAATCTCATCCTATGTTTTTCAATAAACTAAAGTGAATGAGACACTGAAGAAATATAAAACAGAGCAGTGACCTACCGTGGTTGTCTTTATCCGTCCTCCTGGTTGTGTACAGGTCCAGCCTGATTTATTGATTAGCAAATCACAGCCTTCTCCTTCTAAACATGGAAGCATTTCACACCACTGTTTTGTTTTGATAATTCGTGCTATGGAACAGAAAAGAAAAAAAAAACAACCAAAAACAATTGGCAGGAGAATTTACATTTCACTTATCTCTAAATACTTTCTCATTTGAGTTGTCTATTTTCATCATCTGATAATACAGCCATAGGTTATGATGTAGACGGCCCTAGGCAATTTACAAAATTATTTACAACACCTGCTGTGCCAACAGATTTCATAATAAAAATAGAACTTAAAAACCAACAATAAACCAAAAGACAGCCCTGTTGTAAATCAAAAGGACATTTGCTCATTTTCTAATTCCATGCTTCTAACAGTCAAGGAAACATTGTTGGGGGGACTAACAACTGAAGACTTACTATCCTAACTCATTATTAAGGTAGCCTAAAAGTGACCTATTACTGGGATTACTGTTAGATTCTGTATAAACCTGAGCAGACACTCCTTATCCTGAAGTGTTTACAGTGTAAATAGACATGAGACACACAGTGGAGAGAGAAAAGCTATAATAAATAGGTAGAGGGGTCAACATAATGACAGCAATTGTGAAACTCTATGATACTTGCAATAGTAGGGGCATAGCTAGGGGCAGGAACTAGGAACATAAGAAGGACAGGTGTTGAATGAAGTAAAGGTTGGTAAATCATGGGGAAGAAGATATTAAGGGAAAAGACTGGAACAAACACCATCTTACCCTATTACTACAAGGGAAAAGAAGTCTAGTCAGGAAGGTCCCTAACTGCCTGAAAGGTGGCATGTTGTGTGCTTTGTGGCTCCTCTTAATGCTTGCGCCTCTGGTAAGCTGGTTCTGCAAAATTTCCTCAAGGTCACACAGAGCAAGTAGTCTTGGAACAACAGAGCTCTGACTGTATTAAAGTAGATGCAGAGGAGCTGCAGGGAGAAATTTTTCTTCAAGGCAGGGAAAAAATGGGCTTTAATTCCCATAGACTTCTTTCTGGATTATAATACTACTTCTTTTGAGTTCACTTCTGTAGTATCTGGGTTCCTTCTCATGGAATATTAAGCAATATGATTAATATCTAATATTACGTTATTCTTTCACTCTCCCCCATAGGCAAAACTGGTGGAGTGTTAGTTTGGGATACTTTTTATAAAATACGTATACAGAGATGCACTCAGTTGCATGGTGCCATATACTCATGAACAAGGTAAGGCCCCCCAAACAATCTATCTTTTGCTCAGACTGTAAGGCTCGCAGTCCACAGGAAATGGGCCACAGTTCCTTCAGAGATCACCTCAGCCATCCTGGGGGAGACATAAGAAAGCTTCACCAACTCAATTTGTACGTAAGTGTCCTAGGATTCAAGGGCAGAATGAGTTCCACGTACAGGGACACAGATCCCATCTTCCTCTATGTTGATGTGTGACACCATTACACGCAATGTATCTTCAACAGTCATGAGCCCAACAAAAAGAGAACTACAGGAGAAATACTTAGCAAGATAAGCGTACAAGAAGCTTATGATGCTCCAAATTAATTTGGTGTCCAAGGAGCTTAGAAGTGGGCATTTATACCCCGTGGCAGTTGCAGCTCTTTATGCTCACTTGAACGTGTGATTCAGCCTCCCTACGCCCCTGACTTCCCCTGTCTGGAGCTACTTAAGAATACAATTCCCAGTGCCACTGGATCATGGCAAGAAATAGAAGTGTAATTTAAAGTCTTTTAATAAAATCCTTTCCAATATTTTGACATGAAACAACTTGTGTCCTCAGTCCCGGTACAATTGTTGGTAAGCTCTAGCAATATAACGAACACTGATTTCTTTCAGTGGAAGCTCAGTCTGAAATTCATATTTAGATTTTCATTATAGAAAACACTTTAGCTCCCGAACATCTATATAGAAATTTGCACTGTTCATTAGGCAATATATATATATATTGCTGGAGGAATGATTCCCAAACAATTTTCATAACTACAATTTTTTGAAGCAAATCCACTAAGTTTTTATAGCATATAATATGCAGAAATCTGGATTGTGCTTGGGGTCCATAGGTACCCTCTACTGAGAACTGGATCACATCAGTTTTCAAGGCTAACATCTCCAACGTAGCAGAAAATAGCCTCATCCTTCCTGAGTGAAGGCATGCATCCAGCTGCAGGCTTTACAGAAAAAGCTTAGTAAAATGTTAACACCAAACCTCACCCATTTGCATGCACGTATTTGCAATTCATATATCGAAATGGCTATTTCCATCAATGTTTCAACAATATGAAAGATGACAGAAAGACTGAAGAGTCAGTTAAACTCAAAAATATGTACTAGATTGCCTCCACTATCTCAGGTGGGAGGATTTACTGGAAACATAATTTGAACTAACCTTTAAAAAAATACTTCTCTCCTCTGTGTATTACTCTTAGTGTTTGCTTGGTTGCTACCTCAGAATGCAGCTATTGGTAATATCACAAATATATGGAGTCCTTGCTCTGGGTATTGGCTATATCCACACAAATTTAGGACACACCAAGAGTATTTTACAGAACATAAAGTCTAAAACATTTCTGTGTTAAGTGTATAGACTAGCTCATGCATTTAGGCCTTGAGAATCGGAACAACTTCTTTTTGTCGGGAGAAACTACTCAGCTTACATAGTTTAAAGCAAATCAAATCAAAATGGTTTATTAATTTATTAATGACACATAACCAGAAGAAGTGTAGGATCAATACCAGTGATACGAAAAAGTAAACCATCGTACTACGCACGAAATGTTCATAAACACCTGGAAATTGCTAAACGCCCCCTCGGAACTAATCCCAAACGCTTCTAACACACACGGGCACCGCTCCCTCCCCATTCCCTCCCCGGCCCGCGGCCGCCCCCTCGCAGCCCCGGGGCAGACGCGG